GAGGAAAAGGGAAGGGAAAGGGGAAGTGGAAGTGGAAGGGGGCGGAAGGAAGATGGGAAGAAGGAAGATGGGGAGGGAGGGAGGAAGGAAGGAAGGAGGGAAGGAAGGAAGCGAGAGGGAGAGGGGGAGAAGGAAGAAGGAGGAGGAAGGAAGAAGGAAGCTAATTTTTTGTGGCCCAGGCCCAGAATGGACTTCCGGAAGTGGCATCCACACAGAGAACCAGTTCTTCACCTGTTTGAATCCCACCACTGGACCAGCCTGTCATACCGCTTCTCAATTTCATCCCGGTTGACTTGACTTACGGCAAGTCACGTAAGCAAGGTTAAAAAGAGTAGAGGGAGGACCTCAAAAGAAATTGAGGAAGGGTCTCTGCGTCGCCCTGTCGTACAGGCAGTCCTCAACTTACAACCGCTGGTTTAGTGACCGTTTGAAGTCGCAAGGGCACCGAAAAGGCGATTTACGACCGTCCCCGTGCTCAAAACTCAGATGCTTGGAAACCGGCTCGTATTTATGACGGCTGCAGCATCCCGGGTTCGCACGATCCCCTTTTGCGAGGCAAAATCAAAGGGGAAGCCAGATTCACTTAGCAACCGTGTTACTCAACGAACAACGGCAGCGAACCGCTCCACAAATGCGGCCAGACGGTCATAAAACGGGACAAAAATTCACTCAACACACCGTCTTACTTCGGAACAGAAATTTCGGGTTTCTCAGGTGTGGTCATAAGTCAAGTCTGCATTTATCCTTATCTGAGGTGTGTGTGTGTGTGTGTGTGTGTCCTTTTAACTGTCTGGAGGCAGCCTTTTCCCAACTTCCTTTCGATAATGTGGGAAGCGGCGTTTGGGATTTTTGAATTATTTAGGGGATTTCTTTTAATTTTTTATCACTGTGGCCTCCCAGCAGACGTGGCATTTTCACAGAAGCATCCTTGGCTGCTGGAAAAGGGAGAGTTTAAATAAGGCTGAGGTTCTTAATTAGCCCGCGATGCTTTATTCGTAGCCCCCGGTTCAGATGAGGACATATGCTAATTATTGAAAGAAGGCAGCATTCCAAAAAGGATATATTTTTTAATGATGGTTTTTATTGTGCTGCCTGATTTCTTCGGCAACCCAAAGGAATAGTCCAACGGGAGTAGGGGAGGGAGACATGGTGGGGGGTGGGGAAAAGGATGAATTATAAGACTTCTGCATGGGAAATATACTTCTCCCCAGAGTCCATTTGATGTACATCTTTCTTGGCTTCGGGGGAAGTGTTTTTATTCGTGCATTTCAACGTACCCCAGGGGTGTAATAAAGCAGATATATTTCATCGTTATGTGAGTCTGCCATCTTGGATTTCAAAACACATTTGCCAAGGATTTTCTAAGGAGAAACAGAGACTGGCACCCACCTCGGAATAACAGAACGGGAAGGGATCTTGGAGGTCTTCTAGTCCAACCCCCTGCTCAGGCAGGAAACGCTAGACCATTCCAGACAAATGGCTGTCCAATCTATTCTTTAAAACTTCCAGTGTTAGAGCATCCACAACTTCTCACTGTCAGGAAGTTTCTCCTTAGTTCTAGGTTGCTTCTCTCCTGGATGAGTTTCCATTCGTTGCTTTTTTCCTGCCTTCAGGTGCTTTGAAGTAGAGCTTGACTCCCTCTTCTTTGGGGCAACCCCTGAGATATTGGAAGACTGCTATCATGTCCCCCCTCGTCCTTCTTTTCAATAAACTGGACAGACGCAATTCCAGCAACCGTTATAGAAGAATAGAATAGAGTAGAGTAGAGTAGAGTAGAGTAGAGTAGAGTAGAGTAGAGTAGAGTAGAGTAGAGTAGAATAGAATAGAATAGAATAGAATAGAATAGAATAGAAAAAATAGAATAGAAAAAATAGAATAGAATAGAATTAAAGAATAGAATTAAAGAATAGAATAGAAAAGAAAAGAATAGAAAAGAAAAGAGTAGAGTAGAATAGAATAGAATAGAAAAGAAAAGAATAGAGTAGAGTAGAGTAGAATAGAATAGAAGAGAATAAAATTAAAGAATAGAATTAAAAAATAGAATAGAATAGAATAGAATTAAAGAATAGAATTAAAGAATAGAATAGAGTAGAGTAGAGTAGAGTAGAGTAGAGTAGAGTAGGGTAGGGTAGGGTAGGGTAGGGTAGGGTAGGGTAGAGTAGAATAGAATAGAATAGAATAGAATAGAATAGAATAGAATAACAGAGTTGGAAGGCACCTCGGAGGTCATCTAGTCCCCTGCTCAGGCAGGAAACCCTGTACCATTTCAGACAGGTGGCTGTCCAGTCTCTTCTTAAAATCTTCCAGTGTTGGAGCATTCACAACTTCTGGAGGCAGGTTGTTCCACTGGTTAATTGTTCTCAGTGTCAGGAAGTTTCTCCTCAGTTCTAGGTTGCTTCTCTCCTTGATGAGTTTCCATCCGTGGCTTCTTCTCCTGCCTTCAGGTGCTTTGGAGAAGAGGTTGACATCAACATTCCAAAGTGCCGACACTCTTTCTCTCCTGCTTCTTCAAAATCCATCTTTCCCTTCCCTAGAGCATCACCAGCAAAACCACAGCATGCTTCTGCACGGCCATCAGCTTTATTAAGGCAATTCGTCCTCGGCCCACGGCCACAATGGAGCCCAAAAATTTCCGCCGCTAAGTGAAACCTTGGTTAAGCAAGTTTGGCTCCGTTTTACGACCTCCTTTGCCGCCGTAGTTCAGCGAATCGCCGCAGTTGTTAAGTTCGTAAGAAGATTACGAAGGGAATTTGGCTGCCCCCATTTGACTTTGCTGGTCGGAAGGTCGCAAAAGAGGATCGCGTGACACACACACACACACACCCCGGGAACTCTGCGACCGTCATAAATATGAAACCAGGGGCCAAGCATCTGAATTTAGATCACATGACCGTGGGGATGGCGCAACGGTCGTAAGTGAAAGGCAAAAGCCGTTCTTTTGAAGACAGCAAAGTCCACATTTTGGACAGAGAAGACCACTGGTTTGAAAGAGGGTTCAAAGAGGCCATCTAGTCAAAACTGAACAGCCCTCTTTCAACAGAGGGGGGGGATACGACATCACCTATCTCCAGTCTACCACACAGCCCTTTCAGCAGTTCCAAGAAGGCTCCACACCCGTTTGCACCACTCAGGTGACCCTGAGGAGACAGGTAAACCTCCAAGTGGCCTCAACAACCCTCTCAAAGGAGGCAAACCACCAGCTGTCTACAAGGAGTATAAATCCTTCCCTTCCTCCACCATCTAGTCAGAGCTGAAGAAGCTTCTGGGATGAGAAGCGAAACGTCCTCAAAGAAAAATGAGAAAGTCCAGTTTCCTCCTGAAAAAGCTTCTTTGGGAGAAGGATGAAAGGGAAAGAGGAAAAGGAAGATGAGATGGAAGGAAGGAAGGAAGGAGAAGATAGGAGAGAGAGACAGAGACAGAGAGACAGAGAGAGAGAAAGAGGAGGAGCAGGAAAGAAAAAGGAAGAGGAGGTGAAGGATAAGGGAAAGAAAGAAGAGGAAGAAGAAGAAGGAAGAGGAGGAGTTTTTTTCAAATGGCCTCAATGACTCTCTAAAAGGAGGCAAAAGACCAGCTCTCTGCAAGGAGTATAAATCCTTCCCTTCCCCACCATTCAATCCGAAGCTGAAGAAGCTTCTGGGATGAGAAGCGAAACGTCTTCAAAGAAAAACAAGAAAGTCCAGTTGCCTCCTGAAAAAAAGCACCTTTGGGAGAATCTCCATAAATCTGTATTTTAAAAATTAAGTCTGGCTAATTCCATCTCACTTATTTGGGAGCTGAAAGACAAGTCCCCCAACATCCCAACACAGCCCCCTTATCTACTAGAGGGAAATCCATCTCTCTGCCCCAGAGGGAGAGCAGTTCAAATTCCTTCTCCTTGGATGCAGCTGAATCACATGTGGACTAGCATCATGGAGCCTTGTTCTCCATCCTGCAATACAAAACCCAAAGAACCAGCCCAGCAGTTGTTATGTCACCTTTTTTTTTTCCACGCTTGTTTTTAGAGTTCACACCCAAAGGAGGTAGAAAGGTGTTGTCATGGCAACTGCGTCCCCCCATCAGGAAGATGAAGGGGAAGAGGTTGCCATGGCGACTTTCCCCTCCACTTTAGGATTCATCAAGAGGGAAGTCTGAAAAGGTAAATCACCTCGCGCGTGCAGTGGAAGCGCTTTCTAGGGAGATGGGAGAGAGCCCGCTTTTCCCACGTCTACTTTGTCGTCCCTGCGAAAAACGGTCGTAAGTCGCATTGTTAGTGCCGTCGTAACTTTGAACGGTCACTAACTGAAGCGTTGTAAGTCAAGGACCACCTGTATAACTCCTTGGGTTGGGTGGACAGCATTAGGAAGCGAATTGGCTAAAACTCTGATCTGTCTGGAAACCATTACATGAAACGGCATTTATTTATTTTTATTTTTATTTTTAAATGGATTGGAATGTTTAACAGAAACAGATGGGATCCTTTTCCCCATGTGAAATTGGTTGAATAATAATAATAATAATAATAATAATAATAATAATAATAATAATAATAATAATAATAATAATAATAGAGTTGGAAGGGACCTTGGAGGTCATCTAGTCCAACCCCCTGCTCAGGCAGGAAACCCTACACCATTTCGGACAAATGGCTGTCCAGTCTCTCCTTAAAAACTTCCAGTGTTGGAGCATTCATAGCTTCTGGAGGCAGGTTGTTCCACTGGTTAATCGTCCTCACTGTCCTAAAATTTCTCCTTAGTTCTAGGTTGCTTCTCTCCTTGATCTGTTTCCATCAGTTGCTTCTTGTCCTGCCTTCAGGTGCTTTGGAGAGCAGCTTGACTCCCTCTTCTTGGGGGCAGCCCCTGAGATATTGGAAGACTGCTATCATGTCCCCCCTCGTCCTTCTCTTCATTAAACTAGACATACCCAATTCCAGCAACCGTTCCTTATATGCTTTAGCCTCCAGTCCCCTATTGAGAAGGGAAGCAGAGAAAGGGATCAAACAAGAGCAAAACCCCTCCACTTACCTCAAAGACTTTGCCTAAGTTGTCAAAGAGGACCTGGCCAGCGCTGACTTTATGCTTGACCCCTCTAACCGTCCCGTTTTTGCTGAGGATGTTGATCCATTTGGTACCAAACCCCCTATCTTTGGAGGCCCTCACAAAGGAGAACATGTCCCCTGTCTCCGTCTCATTCTCATCCCCTTCGGAGCTGAGGTGTCCGTTGTTCTGTCCATCCGACCCACTGAGACGGCTGTTGGGGTCGGTTTCCGAGCTGCTGGTATACTCCGAATCCAAGGAGTCAGAACTTTCTCCATCGGTGTAGACCTCCTTCAGGATTCTTCCGCTGTGGGAAGAGGCGATGCGGAATCGGACTTTCCGCGGAGGCCTACCCTCCTCAACCAGGGTGTTCCTCTTCAACATTGCCCTATCCGTCGACGGGACCCGCTTACATCATCCCGGTTTAGTTTGTCATTAGAGAGCGCCAGATTCTCACACTTATAACAATATCATAGTTGTCTTCCAGTGACAACAGGAGAGCTGACGTGAAGCCACCCGCTAAAGGAAAGAGGATGCCGGAGACGTTAACCGCACCGTTCTGCACTGAATTATGGATGGCCCGGTGTGCTATGG